GTTCAACAAGTGGTGCTGGGAAAACTGGGCAGTGACATGCAGTAGAATGAACCTGGACCACTTTCTTACACCATACACAAAAATAAACTCAAAATGGATGAAAGACCTCAATGTAAGACAGGAAGCCATCAAAATCCTCGAGGAGAAAGCAGGCAAAAACCTCTCTGATCTTGCCCGCAGCAACTTCTTACTCAACATGTCTTCAGAGGCAAGGGAAACAAAAGCAAAAATGAACTACTGGGACCTCATCAAAATAAAAAGCTTCTGCACAGCGAAGGAAACAATCAGCAAAACTAAAAGGCAACCGACAGAATGGGAGAAGATATTTGCAAATGACATATCAGATAAAGGATTAGTATCCAAAATCTATAAAGAACTTATCAAACTCAACACCCAAAAAACAATCCAGTGAAGAAATGGGCAAAAGACATGAATAGACACTTCTCCAAGGAAGACATCCAGATGGCCAACCGACACATGAAAAAATGCTCAACATCACTCATCACCAGGGAAATACAAGTCAAAACCACAGTGAGATATCACCTTACACCTGTCAGAATGGCTAACATTAACAACTCAGGCAACAGCAGATGTTGGCAAGGATGCGGAGAAAGAGGATCTCTTTTGCATTGTTGGTGGCAATGCTGGTGCAGCCACTCTGGAAAACGGTATAGAGGTTCCTCAAAAAACTAAAAATAGAACTACCCTACGACCCACAAATTGCACTACTAGGCATTTATCCATGGGATACAGGTGTGCTGTTTCAAAGGGTCACACACCCCAGTGTTTATAGCAGCACTATCAACAATAGCCAAAGTATGGAAAGAGCCCAAATGTCTATTGATGGATGAATGGATAAAAAAAAAATGTGGTATACACACACACACACACACACACACACACACACACACACACACACACTGGAGTATTACTCGGCAATCAAAAAGGATGAAATCTTGCCATTTGCAAGCACGTGGATGGAACTGGAGGGTATTATGCTAAGTGAAATTAGTCAGAGAAAGACAAAAATCATGACTTCACTCAAATGAGGACTTAAAGAGACAAAACAGATGAAAATAAGGGAAGGGAACAAATATAAGAACAAAGGAAGGGAACAAAAATAAGGGAACAAAAATAATATAAAAACAGGGAGGGGGACAAAACAGAAGAGATTCATAAACATGGAGAACAAACTGAGGGTTACTGGAAGGGTTGTGGGAGGGTGGATGGGCTAAATGGGTAAAGGGCACTAAGGAATCTACTCCTGAAATCATTGTTGCACTATATACTAACTAATTTGGATGTAAATTCTAAAAAATGACAGATAAATTTTTTTTTAAAAAAGATACAACAACTAGAGGGGCATCTGGGTGGCTCAGTTAAGCACCTGACTCTTGGTTTCAGCTCAGGTCGTGATCTCACAGTTTATGGGTTCTGAACCCCACATCGGGCTCTGCACTGACAGCTCAGAGCCTGCTTGGGACTCTTTCTTTCTTCCTCTCTCTCTGCCTCCCCCCACCACCCACTTGCACGTGCACCTACCTACGCTCTCTATCTCCAAAATAAATAATAATTATTATAATTATAATTATATAATTATTAAAAAATAATTATATATTATATATATATTATATCTATATATTATATTCTTATATTATATATATTATATATATTATATATATACTATTATATTATATATATTATATTATAATATATATATTATATATATTATAATATATATAATATATAATATATTATAATATATAATATAATAATATATAATATAATATATATATAATATAATAATATATATAATATAATAATTATATAATATATAATAATTATATAATTATTTAAAAAATAATAAAGATATAACAACTAGGTAAACCTTTGCAGTTATTATTTGTTCCATCTTTTTTTTCATCATTTACGATTTTAACTCTTTGCATGTCTTCCAACATACATAATATATTAGTATAGTAATGCATGCATAAGTGATTAAAATAATTTAGGAACAGATTTATATTACAAGTACATGCATGACTATATCTTATCAAAACAAGCAGGAGATCGCTTTCAAACTGATGACAACCAGACCCACAAGGCTGTTAGCCCGTACTCTTCACTGATCACTGTTTTTGTCACTTTGTGAAGGAAATGAGTATCTCATTCCTTTCAAGTGTCTGTTTCTCCTCTACCCTTCCACATATGTACTCAGGTATAATAAGCACCCTAGGACCCCCTTTAGGACATCGCACTAAATCTAGGAACTTAATAGCATAATAGAAACAGAACTTCTGGGGTGCCTGGATGGCTCAGGCAGTTAAGTAGCTGACTCTTGATCTCAGCTCAGGTCATGATCTCAGTTCATGAGTTAGAGTCCTGCTTCAAGCTTTGTGCTGACAGTGTAGAGCCTGCTTGGGTTTCTGTCTCTCCTTCTCTGTGCCCCTCCCCTGCTCACTCTCTCTGTCTTTCTGTCTCTCTCAAAATAAATAAATAAACTTAAAAAAAAAAAAGAAATAGAACTTCTGAGTTTCTGATGACATTTTGGAAACATGGAGAAATAAGGGGGTAACGTTCTCTCAAAGTAATACACCAGAGAGAATAAAGGCAGGGGTGATGCAAACACATCATTGAGAGCAGATCAACTCAAAGACATTGATGGGTAAAAAGGGAGAAACATGTTACATAATCCAAGGCATTCTACAATAGGGAGAGGTGTCCTGAGTTGTGGCTGAATAGAGACACACACATCTATCCTGTCATTAAATCCCATTATTGGAAATATGTTAACATAATGTGGTGAATAATTGTAAAACAAACTATGTTACAATGTAGCAATCTTATCCATTCATCTCTGTTGTATTCATGACTGCAATATGAAAAATGAATTACATTACACATTCATGGTTTTCATGGTACCCCTCTGTTGCTCTTTAATCACATAACAATTGTCTTGTTAATGAATCTAACTAACAGCTATTAACATTAATGTTGGCTTTCCTTTAGGCCAAGGCTGAGCTTTTGCATGTGTGGCTTCTTCCTCCCTCTCTCTCTGGCAGATGCTCAGTGCTCAGTCCCCACAAGCCTGCTCTTTATTCCCCGCCTCCCAGAGAAGCAGCCTCTGGGGAGAGTTCTTCTCCACTGGGAGAGAATACTGAATGTTGTGTTTGTCCAATCTCTTAACTAAGCTCCAGATCCAAGCAGGTGGCAAGCCGGATCTTTCATGTGTATTTAGCGTTACTATTTTCACAGGACACACCAAGGTTCAAATTTAGGTTTCCACTGTTTCTCCCTGCAGCTGTTGGCTTCTACCAACTGGAGATGAATTTTAGTCTAAACCTCTTTGGAACATATACAGATCCGGACAGTTGCTAGATATGTAGGCCAGGGAGTAATTGCCATATAGGTGAATGGAATACCAACAAAACTATAACATTTTGCTGTTATTCTAAAGAATATAATGAAAATATCACCCAGGTCCATATCCTAACACATCAAGGGTTGAAGATGGCCAGCTCTTTTATTACAAATGTGAGTCAGCCCAGTTCTGTATTTTGTAGACTAGACTTATCTCTATGGTGATTTTTGCCTTTGTGTCTGATGGAGCAACACAATTCCTGACCTTTCCTATCTATCAGTGCTCCTGTCCTCAGTCTCAAAAGCCAAAAGGCATGAGAGGATACACTCTCTTTCTTTTTGATTATAATAACAATACTAAACTCCAGAATGTCTGATAATACTCTTACAAGATCATAAAGAGCTACAACTTGCTTTATCTAAGAAAACAAGTGCTAGCCTATCAGTTTTTACAAGAAGCTAGCAGTGAGCTAATAATTAATTACCTATTTCCTGCCTGTCCTAACAATTCCTCTCCTTCTTTTATCTTATGAATTTGTATTTTACTTTCCATCAAAAGAAAATGCACAAATGAGCAATTCATGGCTTGGGAATCCATTTCTTTTATCAACAGATATGGATAATTTAGATTTCATTACAACCTTGCAGAATAAATTGATGAAACTGGCTACTGATCAAGGGTTGAAGATGAATTCTGGAAATGCTCCCTCTTTTGTTTTTTCCAAAACATCATCTTGCTGTGGAGGAGTAGTCCCTTAGGTATATCTGTCACAGACCCACTCCCATCTACTTCAGAAAACTGAAGCACTGGCTGAGTAAGAACAGGCCAGAACATCTCAGAATTTTTGTTCGCCGGGATACGTGGAAAGAGGTCAAGGTACTGAAGCTTGACGTACTAACCACAGGTTGAGTATGTACATGTTCTAATGTGCAACAACAAGGTCTAAGAGTTTCAATTTGTCTAAGTGAGGACAGGTGAGTGAGTTTTCTGAAAATCAAAACATTTCTTGGGGTGCCTGGGTGGCTCAGTCAGTTAAGTATCTGACTCTTGGTTTCAGCTCAGGTCATCATCTCACCCTTCATGAGTTCAAGCTCCACATTGGGCTTTGTGCTGACAGCGCAGAGCCTGCTTGGTATTCTCTGTCTCCCTTTCTCTCTGCTCCTTCCCTGTTCACACACTCTCTCTCTCAAAAAGAAATAAATAAACATTAAAAAAAATGATTTCTTGGGTTCCACTGCCAGTGCCATTTAATATGCCTGCGCTTCTGAAGGGCATTTGCCATCGGAACAGAGACAAGTACAGCAGACAAGCAGAGACGGCTGAGGTTTACAAGATCAACGTGAAGAGCAGGAAATTGAGGACGAATGAAAGAGCAGAGGAAAGGGGCGCCTGGGTGGCGCAGTCGGTTAAGCGTCCAACTTCAGCCAGGTCACGATCTCGCGGTCCGTGAGTTCGAGCCCCGCGTCGGGCTCTGGGCTGATGGCTCAGAGCCTGGAGCCTGTTTCCAATTCTGTGTCTCCCTCTCTCTCTGCCCCTCCCCCATTCATGCTCTGTCTCTCTCTGTCCCCAAAAAAATAAATAAAAGTTGAAAAAAAAAAAAAAGAGCAGAGGAAAGGAAGCTAGCAACACTGTGACTTACTTGTAATAGCAGATTTCATAGCCCATCCGTATCCAGGTGGGTCTGCCAAGAAGAGCCTCCTTCACAGAATACAGAGTTGGCTGCATTCCTGCATGGAACAAAGGCAGGATTAATCACTGGGGAAAGAGGGAATGGAAAGAGGGTTGTGGTCCTCCGAATCATGGCCCTCCAAGATAGCCAGATCCTAACCCCTGGAACCCATGAATGGTACCTTAGATGGCAAAAGGGATTTCGTAGATGTGATTAAATTAAAGATCTTGAGATGGGGAGATTATCGTGGTGGGCCCTAAATGCAATCATTTATGTCCTCATAAGAGGGAGGGAGAGGGAAGTTCGACTGCCCAGGAAAAGCCATGTGATTGAAGCAGGCAGAAAGAGACTGGGAGAGGCTATGCTACCAGCTTTAAAGGTGGAACAAGGAGCCATAAGCCAAGGGATATGAGGAACTTAGCTCCAAAAGCTGGGGGGAGGGGTGCCTGGGTGGCTCAGTCAGTAGAGCGTCTGACTTCGGCTCAGGTTATGATCTCACGGTTTGTGGGTTCGAGCCCCGCGTCAGGCTCTGTGCTGACAGCTCAGAGCCTGGAGCCTGCTTTGGATTCTGTGTCTCCTCTCTCTACCCCTCCCCCACTTGTGCTCTATCTCTCTCTGTCTCTCAAAAATAAATAAATTTAAAAAAAAAAGCTGGGAGGATAAAAAAGGAAAAAGAAAATCCCCAAGATGCTCCAGAGGGAGAATGGCCTTTCTGGCACCTTGACTGTAGCCCAGTGAAACTGACTTTGGACTTCCGGACTCTGGAATTGTAAGAGAGTAAATCCGTCTTGTTTTAAGCCACCAAGTTTGTGACAATTTGTTACAGCAACCATACAGAGCAAATGCAAGAGTTGAGGTTCATATTTTCTCTTTCTATTTAAAAGAGTCTATTTAGTCAGTACAAAATAGAGGCGGTAACCTGTGTGCAGACATAGAGATATGGGAACATTTATTCCTTACTCAAAGCCACTCAATAAATTAGGATATGACCTAGCACTAACACGCATAATTTTCCATTCCTGGAAATGTTCAAAATAAATGTGGGCTGCTAGTCAATTTGTCCCTTAAATCTCTCCTCCAAAATGGCCACAGGTATTCAGTAGAATTTGAACTTTCCCCATGTTTTTTTGGAGTTTAAATCAGCGTTGTCCAATTGGATTGCACTGTTTTCCTGTCTGGGGCAAATAGGTCAGTATATTTGCTACTGTAGGATTTAGGTGATGGAGAGAAGGAATAAATGAGAGTGCTCAAGGACCTCAAAAAGTTCAAGGTGGGGCAAGGCAGTCAGGAAGGGGTGGAATGTTGTGTATGGCGTTAACATGCCACAGCAGAGTGGAACTTCCAGACTGCCTTCCATGGTGACTGTTTGCCATAAGATGGCCACCACCTTGCCACGTCTGGGACCAAAACATTCAGCCCAACCTCAAACCCTTTGGGAACCCAAACAGAGCTTCCAGTAATAATCCAAACAACCAGAGGGGCATCATTCCTGGTGTTAGCCAGAAGACCTCTGTTCCCCAAGAGCTCATACCGTAATTAAACTGGCTGTTGGGCTTCTCACAGTTGATGACATTGAAGCGGTACGGAACAGCAGCTCTCATGCCGCTCACCTTGAAGTAGAACCACTGTTGATGTTGGCTGCTATTCACATCAGCGTTGACCAGCAAGTCATATTCCAGCCTGCAAAGTCAGAAGCAAGATTGGAGGGCTAAGAGTCTTTGAGGTAACTTCCAACACTGAAAAGCCTACAAATGTCAGATTCTAGATGACAGATCTAAGACCCAGGATCTCAGCTGGCCAGTAAGTTACAACGATCATACTTACCTCACAATATCGGACACACTGGCTATAGAAATTTGGGGAGAGGAGAGCAGGCTCGTGGTATTAAGAGAATCAATTATGCAACTGTAGCATATCTTTTTATTAAACTGTAATGGATTTTCTCTCCAGTAGGAAAAAATGCAAGTGCATGATACCCCAGAGAAAATTCAATCACATCTGGTTGGATATGTCATTATTATTTGATGCTACACATTACTTTTGAGCCTCAGTCTCCTCATATGGAAAATGGAAATAGTGTCTAAATTCGCAGTGCTGTTCTTAAAGATCAAGCAGAGAGTTGATGTAAACCCCCAGCAAAGCAACAAACGTGAATTAGACTAGGAAGGCAGGAGTTGTATGTTCATTTTGTCCCTTTTTAACTGATTTAACTTACATGCAGTGAAAAGCACAAGTTTTAAGTGTAAGAATCAGTGAATTTAAACAAATTCATCTGGACACTCCTGCTTGACAATTACCCAGATCAAGATACAAGCCATTTCCAGTACCCCCAGGAGACTCTTGTGTGGCCCCTCTCAGTCACTATCTGCAAGGGGAATCATTTTTTTTGCGCTTTAGCAACAAAATTAGCAATGCAGCTTGGACTTCAGCATTCTTACCGGTATAGTTCATTTTCCAAAATAGTATCACTCCATCCCCTTGGCATGTTCTTTGAGTTTCTCTTCTAGAAGGGGTGATGTTTTTGCCCTGATCTGTTCATACTCTGCTGCTCTGGAGCCCTGACCCCTGGCATTTGCAGTGAGATTTGTGGAGGGGTGGGGCTTTGCAGAATGCATAAAAGTAGGGCTATCTGATACAGGTCCACTGCCCATGCTGTCCTTCTAAGCATCTCAATCGAACCAAACCATCCAGCCCGCCATACAATGAATGAAGCATAATCCACTGAGTGACATTCATGAGGACAAATTTGGAAAGATGATGACCCTCAAATTGGCTGCTATGCCCACAATCCTTTCCAAAAACTGGTCATAAAAAGTCCTTGCCTAGAAGTAGGTTTGTTTTCTGTCATTTGACTCTGTTACCCTGACCAAACTAATCAGTGTAGGATTCCACCACTCCAGCCAAAGGCAGATATATGGTATATGGAGAGAAAGATCAGCAACACAGGCACATCATGGACTGACCACTGTACCACTATGAGACCCCCGATTAGGTTTTCTCTCCTGGATCCCTTAAATATGACATATAGAGAAAAGGAGTAATAAAAGCTGGCACTATAGCAAGAAGTTAGAAGCTGAGCTGGTAATGAAAAGAGAAGGTGGAGAAGGAATCTCAACATAATTGCCTTTCTCTTCTTCAGCCAAAGTAGCTCAACTTATATTTGTCTTATATGTTGGGCTTCCTTAAAACAGTTCATGCACAAAACAAACAAAAAAGGATCACCGCTCGCCTGCCCCCCAAAAAACAGAAAAACTTCAAAAATGACTCCTCAGGTAGGGGTGCCTGGGTGACTCAGCTTGTTAAGTGTCTGACTTCAGCTCAGGTCATGATCTCATGGTTCATGGGTTTGAGCCCCCCATTGGGCTCTGCACTGACAGTGTGGAGCCTGCTTGGGATTCTCTCTCTCCCTCTCTCTCTGCCTCTTCCCTGCTCTCTTTCCCTTTCTAAAAATAAAATAAATTATATATATAAAATACATATGTATATACATACCCTCAGATAGATACAAAACAGGCCAGACTATACTAAGTTCTATGCTCTAGCTATGGTGAATACCCATCTCTGAAGATAAGCTAATGCTGACTGAGGGCTTACCATGTGCCAGGTACTATTCTAAGAGCTTGATGTGTTTTTAGTTAAGTCTCAAATACATCACTATAATGTGGGTGCTATTACTGTCCCCATTTTCTGGGTCAGGAAAGAAAGGCATGGAGTTGGTTAGGTAATTGCTCAAAGTCTCCTGGTTGGAAAGGGGTGAGGCTGCCCCTGGCAGTCTGATCCCAGAGTCTGTGACGACCACCCCCTTAACTGTTCTAACTGTTGTTTTCAGGAGTTTACACATAGAATATGGATTGTATGTCCTGATTCTGGCAATGAAAAATATAGTTCACACTGGTGTAGAGGAAAGAATTATAACATAGCAGTCTCTTCTGCACTGGAAATCTATGTTTTGTTTCCCCCCTCTTTTAGTTTGTGCAGCCCTAGGCTTTCCTTGCCTGTGAAATACTTTTCCTTTTTTTTTTTTTAATGTTTATTTTTGCAAGAGAGCATGAGCAGAGGAGGAGCAAAGAGAAGAGGATACAGGATCTGATGCGGGCTCCGCGCTGACAGGAGCAAGCCCAATACAGGGCACAAACTCACAAACCATGAGATCCTACCTGAGCCGAAATCGGACACTCAACCCACTGGACCACCCAGGCGCCCCTGAAATACTTGTCTATTAACAAGAGCTCATTGAGAGTTTCTGGCAAAGAGGCATGGCACTAAATATGCCCTTGAACTAAGGATAGCGAACCTCTCCATGGGGAGCCCAATGTTCTTGCCACCTATGTACACAGCTGTAGGAACAACAGTCATGAAAAGGTACAGGACTAGGGGAGCCCAGGTACACTTCCGAGTCAACAGAACCAGCCCTGGCATCAGCCTAAGTACAAATATCCCATTCAAAGGACTCCCACGCCCAAGTATGGAGCCATGATCTTGAACATAGGTGTATTGGCAATTTTCAACTCTAGTCTCCACCTTGCTATGACATTGGCTAGTGAGCCCCCTAGTGGTGCGCTGGTAAATGTTTAACAACAGACTCCCAGGAAAACTTTCACTTGCAGTGTTTGCCAGTCCTCAGGGTATAAACACTCCCACCATGGCTGATTTCACACTACCAGTGTGAGGCCGCTGTACTGAGAGTAGGGACGAGAGACACAACCCGCTCTCTTAAGCTGCCAGCAGCTACCTTTGTGGGTTTCCTTACTTACTCACGCACTTGGATGGCTTTCCGGAGATTTCCTGACTCAAACTTGGAGTAGAACCGCAAGCAATCGGAAGCAGTGTCTTGCAAAGGCCTGTAATGAAATAGGAAACATGTGAACACATGCGTTACTGCTATTCTTGGGCATAGCCTGACATTTCTTAGAGATAAGGTTTTTCTTACAGATCTTCAACATAAATTTTCATCATGTTTTTAGTAGAAGGGATGGATTACTAACATAAAACACTCTTATTCTCATGTCATCAAGAGGATATTCCACACTCCACCCCCACCCTCCACATTCCACTGACGCTCAAGACCACCTACCAAGGCTCATCTAAACTGAAGACGACTTTATTTATAATATCAGTTGGCTGGATGAGCCTCCGGACATCCTCAAATATCTTGATCCTGGAAAGGAAAATTGGAAACATTTTAAGTGTTGGTTGGCCCTCACTCCTTACCTCATTTATCCTACAGTCATCTGGGAAGGGTTTGGGGAGTCATCAGAGAATTATGAAAGAAAAATTTAATAATGCCCCAACATGGGGCTGAAAGAGTGGAAAAAGCACTGCCTGTCCTTCCTTTTCTTGTGTATCAAAAAAAAAAAAAAAGAAACTACATTGAGCAGTAGGAATGTAGGAAGCAGATTTTAGTTGGAGGATTCAGGACTTGAAGAATTTTTTCAAGGGCATTTGAACTAATGGGCTCTGAAGGTTTCTGATGGTATCAGAGGGTCCTTTGTAGTGAGACAACTTTGAGGGAGACTTTAGGATTGTTGACTGTTAGTACCCTCAAGGCCTGGGAGGATTCAGTAAGCCTTTGAACTCTTGAGTCATTTCTACTCCTTGGGTTCTGTCAGCTCTAGAAAACTAAGGTCAGTTTTATGAGAAACACCCATATTCAGGAGGTTTAAGTAAGAGGACAGAAGGAAGCCCAAAGGAACTTTCAGATTCCCTCCTTGAATTTCCAATCCAGGTATTCTGGGTGGAGTGGGAAGGTGAGGGAAGATAGGCATGAGGCCTGGACTCAAGGGGAAGATGTTCTGTCAAAGGGGGAGGTGTTATTGGGCCAGCCTCTGCGGTGCGTCTCTCAGGAACTTGAGCTTGGCAGATAACGTACAGGGGGTAAAGTCAGAGACATCAGCAGGAACCCAAGTGCGAGCAGCTCTTGGGATCCACCATCAATTTGCTCATGAAATGGAAAACAAGTTAATGAAACTTTCTGGTATGCACACTCAGCTCCATTGACTTAGTGCATGCATAATCAATGTCGTTGGATTTTTTTTCCCCAGGGAAAATAATTTTCCTTGGTTTATCAATTTTCGTTCTAATCTCACTCTGCTTACCCAAAGGCAAAGCTTCCTTTCCAACATTCTGGGAATAAGCCATCACCCAAAGTTTCTTCCCTGGAGAATGCGGTTTTTCCTTACAATCCTCAGTGATGCAGAACTATTCTAACCCAAGTCAGGTTTTTAAGGTTGGGACTGTGAGATAGGGGCACACCACCTCCTTTCATCAATGAGATCAGACACCAATTTGTAGTGAATTTTAAAAAATATACCCCAATTAATCCACATTTGTTTTTTCTGAGAACCTTCCTGGGGACTGATCCCAGTATTTGAAGAAACTGGGTTATCTTTCCCCATCATGGTCTGCAATGGTTATGGGGTAAGGGGTTACATTGGAATCATCGAAGGAATTCTTTTCTGGCAACACATGCCTGCCACTACCCCACGCTTACTTCTGAAATGTCCAGTAGGGAGGCAAGCTTCTGTGTTTGGCAAGAGCTTCCCAAAGGATTTTAACACGCTCCTGACTGATTCTCACTTTCCTACAGACAGTTGAACTATCTGTACCAAACACTCTGCCTATAAAAATATTAAAGAAGAGAAAAAATATAGCTTCCAAATCAGCAGCGCCATCACCTTTGGACTCCACATTTGCGTTCCAACATCGACTGGGCAGAGGGTGGTGGACGATGTCCCCAGAGGTCAGGAAATGCCATTGTCTTGAAGTCGGCCACAGATCTGGTTCTTCTTGCTTTGGCCATATAGAGACAGGGGTCATGGAAGGGGACAGGCTTGGGATGTGTCTGCAGAAGCTTATCTATTACTTCATCAGTTTCTCTAGGCCTATCGGAATTGGAAAAGGAGGCACTAATCATTGGGCAGGAAATAACATCTATGTCCCAAGCATCCTGTTTGAGGGAAGCTTGAATGTCAGGGATTTCTTTTCCAGAAGAATCTATCCCAAATCCATTGGATTGCATGTTTTGGCATGGGTTCATCCCAGGTCCTTTTCTGGAGGCTGGATGCATGGTGGACCTCCCCATCTTCACCTTGCTCAGAAGGGAAGTCTGGACCATGTCTTCTCTTCCTTGCTTCCAAGAACTTTGGTCCTTATTCAAACCATGCCACTTTGGGGAGGCGACAGTTGGAATGTGGTGATGATTGGCATACTGAGTCTCTTCGAACTTCATATCATCTCCAGATTGAGACTTGAGTTCCTTCGGGTTTAAAATGGAAAAGAATACGTCAGTGTTACCTTCCTGGTAGAAAATACAATTTGACCCCAATCCTTACTCTCTGAGCACAGAGGTAAGTGTAAATCTTGTTGTTTTGTTGTTGTTGTTGTTGTTGTTTTAGCATAAATCCTATGAACTGGGAAGCTTTTTTCAAGGTCAAACAAGAAAAGGCTAAGCTTCAACAGTCAAATAAATAGTAGAATCTTAGAAACTCATGTTTAGAAGGAGCATTGGGTGGGTCTAGCACAATTCTATACATCACACAAATGCCCTTTGCAACACCCCCAAAAAGTCACAGCTTGGTGAAACAAACTCATTAACAGGGTTTTCACTACAGCCCAAGGCAGTGCCTCTCATTTGGGGATCATTCTGATTGTTTTTTTTTAAAAAAAGTCTTCCTTATACCGAAATGAAATTTCCCTTCCCTGAAATTTCTACCTACTGATGCCCTTCAGCTTTCTGAAGTAAAACAGAATATACAGACTCCCTTCTACATGTGACTTAGCTGGTACCCTTGGGTGGGGCAAATTCATGATATATCATGGGTCATAAGAAAATAACAGAGATCCAAAGGCAGGTCTAAAATCTTGACGACAGCAATAGTAGTAGGAGCAGCAAGTAGCCACTGTATCATCAGGTGTGAGGTTCTCAATTTCTTTCTACTAACAAAAAACACTGGAATCAGACTAACCACCTTCAGAAAGCCATCTAGTACAACTTACCCTCTTTGTAGGGGAACAACTAAATCACCAAGAATTTTCACCTGTGTTTTTAGAACGCGAGGGCAAGTCAGTTTGCCCTGCCCCAACCCCACGGCGGATCATAGGCAGCGATGTGTACCCCCACACTTCTTTCATCCTAGGTTCCAGGGGTCAGATTGCAGGAGACTTGCATGCATCCAGCCCAGCTACCTTTTTCACATTTTGCTTGGATTTCTGCTTCTTTCTCAGAAAGACCTCAGAAGCAGATTGCTAATGATGAACAATGCTTTCCATCTGGAGATCCCCTGCTAGGCCTCCCAGGTTCTGCAAAAAAACCCATCATGCATCACCGTGGAGCAGACCCACAGCATATGTCCTACCTCGAAGCTGCAGGAGAGCTCAAGACACATTGCCTCGTACTGCATCAGTTCCTCCTCGGGTCGGTCAAGACCAGGTTTGGAACTCAGTTTGTTCACATCTGTTTCCAAATCATCATCCTACAAAGGAATATCCAAAAATATGTATGTGAAAGTCAAGACAGCCACCCTGAGAAGCATCGAGACAAGCTACACATGTGATCTTTCAAAATCTTGGGACATGGTTTCCTTGCCTCCAAATTATAGTGCTAGCCTATGAGAAGGAGAATCTAAGATGGTGGGTGGTATTTTTTCAATGAAAAGAAAGAAGGTACACAACTTTTCTAAGCATCCATCTCAGGATTTGTCAGCCCTTACCATGAATAACTAATTTATATAAAATGAGATGAACCCTGTAAACAGTAAAGCACAATATAAAAGAATTTTGTATCTCGCCACCACCATCAACATAATTGTAATCACTGTACCTGTTCTTCCATCATCTGTGCCATTCAAAACTGTTTAATGAGCACCTACTATGAGCAGGTACCACTGTAGGTACTGAAGAGTTAGTGATAATGGAACAGACAGAAGTCAATGTTCCCATGGAATCTGCCTTCGAGTGAGAGAACGAAGACAGCAAACAAATGAAGAACATTAACTTCCAACGGTGGTAAATTCCATGCAAAGGGGATCGGTGGGAAGCAGTTTAGACTGGGTGATCTGAGACCGCCTCACTGAGGAGGTGACATTTTAGCTAGAAGAGCCAACTGTACAAAGCCTTGGGGAAGAAATTACCAGCAGAAGGAACAACTGACATTGCCTTTCAGAAAGCAGGTGGTTGGAGCACAGAGAATAGGAGGAAGATCGCAGGTGTCAACACTGGAGAAAGAGGCACTAGGCAGGGCCTTCCAGACCCAGAGAGGGGTTTGTCACCTCCTGCTGCACCTTACCCTGTTGTACATTTACATCTACCCAACCACCACCAGTCTTTCCTTCACTGGGCTGAATAATCCTAGATCCTTCATTTTTATTTCTAGATCATCATTTCATAATAGTTTAATGGTGATGGTGACTCTCCTCCCAAATCATCTGTATTTTCCAAAGGCTATAAAGTCTTACAGAGAAAGGACACCAGGAATCAACCAGTCCAGTCTCCTCATCTTTCCATGTCTCTCCTGAACCAAGTTTCCCTAATAAGATAGGGAAGAGAAACCTACCCTATGTATTAGGAGAATATTTGGTTAATTAAGGAAAAACCTGGCATCTCTGATAGCCTGGATTATTCTTCTTTAAATCAAATAAATAAACACAATAAATGTTTATATTACTGATCCAGGGTTGGGGGGAGGGAGAGAAAATGCAATATTCTGTCCATCTTCTGGAATTTTCCCCCAAACTTCATTTTTTAGTGTTTATTTATTTATTTTGAGAGAGACAGAGTGTGTGTGTGAGCAGGGGAGGGGAGGGAGAGAGAGAGAACCCCAAGCAGGCTCTACACTCACCGTAGAACCCAACATTGGGCTCGCTCTCACAACCATGAGATCATGACCTGAGCCAAAATCAAGAATTGGATTCTTAACAGACTGAGCCATCCAGGTGCCCCTCCTCCAAACTTTAAATTAAAAAAAAAAAAATAGACCTCATGATGTTGATTTCATGGTATTTTCAGATACAGTGCACACCAGGCCCAAATTCCTCAGCCCGGTAATGAAGATCCCACTATTCTTGTCCTTTCCAGCTTTATCTATCAGTTCCTGCTTGCCTGCATCCTCTTCTGTGCAGCCTCAGCCATGCCCCAGGGTGGTATCAGTAGAAACGCAATCTGGTATGTGCTGTTTTGAAGGGGCACACGCACCCCCATGTTTATAGCAGCGCTATCGACAATAGCCAAAGTATGGAAAGAGCCCCCATGTCCATAGACAGATGAATGGGTAAAGAAGATGTGGGGGGTATATATATATATATACCTATATATTGACAGAGGTTCGGAAGGGCTTCGTGGGGGGAACGAGCCC